TTAAACACAAATAAATCATATGACTAAAAGAACATACTTAATACAACACAGACTTATTTATTGAAAGGCTATGGAAAGACAAGGTTACTTTTCCACAGCCACTTGTCACAGTTGGCCCTGGAGCCGTTGTGACTGTTCAACGCAACCCATGCTCTCAACAAGCAATGTGGCAACGAGGAGGAGGATTAGCTTAGCACAGCCAGTATATAAATAATGACAACTAATAAGTGTTAATCAGGGAGTTTTTTTTTTTTTTTTTTTTTTTTTTTTTTTTTTTTTTTTTACAAAACCCAGTTACTTAACAGCGAACGGCGCTTTAACGAGTGTGGCTTTTTAACAATGAAACTAGCTTATATGTTAATATTCTTGTAAGTCAAAATTTTTTATTTTGTTTTATACAGATACGGTTCTCCTCATTTTTTAAAAGTCAATAAATAGTAGATTTAATAGGTTCTGGAATAACACCCGGAAACCTAATTTCAAACCTCTCTGTAATAGTATTAATGATTTACTTTTAACGTATTCTCATACAATCCACGCTTTTTCAGCTTGTGAAAACACCACAGTGAGTCTTATTTACAATTAATTACGAATACAACTAATCTTCATACATCAAACAATACACATAAGGTAAATGGCAATTAATTTAAAAGATAACGATTCTAATGAATTTGTATATAAATAAATGACGATGCATATAAACAAGTTTTAATAATTTGTAAAGTTCTTGGTAAATCTCTCTTAACCATGCGTTGCTCGCACACAAGGGACAAACTGTCTGTGAATGGATCACATCTTGCAAACCAAGGGGTTTGCAGTTATAGACTAAATTAAAATGAAATGTTAAATTTTAGTGGAGCCGGAACGCGACTTACTGGATTCCACCATCACTAGATTAAGGGTGAAACCTTTACTTTTAGTTTGCAAATATGTTTAAAAAACCACTCCTCAATACAATCCTAAATATCTCTAAAAAATGTATACAGTAGAAATCCATTTATCTGAACTTCAACTATTCGAATCTTCTTCAAAAGAATTCTAAAAACTACATTAATATGAATCATTATCTTATGCAGTCGTGTAAACATCACCATCGTCTTCCATGATCGTGGCAAAATCTTCGGTCATCTAGACATCATTCTCGTCTACTGTGATCGTGAAAAAGTCTTAATCATCTCCCGAGGTAGTGTAGTGGCATAATCGTTTTCCGCGATCGCTGGAAATCTGTATTACTTCTCTTTAACGTCTTATAGCCATCAACACAACTCCCATAATCACAGAAACTCGTCATAGTGTTCTGTTTCGCAGACGCTTTCTGCGATCGCAATAGTAAAAGCTCGGCTTGACTCTGCCCATTTTCTGTAAAATACCCCACGATTTGGTAAACACCAAATGATCGGAATTCTCGGTTATCCAAATGTGGTTTGGACCCAATTGATTCGGATAATTGGAGTTCTACTGTAATTATAAATCCTGTCTGTTTCAGCCTCCATACGTTCGTTAAACGTATAAAAAATGTATTTCATACAAACAAATATTTGTAAAAAAATGTATAAAAGGACCAAAATTCAAAACACTGTTGGGATAATTAAAATGTTTGCTCATTAGTATGACGCAGCTGGTTCTGTATGTGACGTCACCATTCTCAGACATTTACTCCCTCCTACAACTGATTTCCCAGGAGAATTGGAGATGTAAAGTACCCCAGACTAGGGACTGCTGGGGATTATACTTAGGTTAGAAAGTTGTTAAAACCTCTTGCAAAAATTAAAATTGAAAAAAAAAAACAGTAGAGATGAAAGTATATTTGCGTTTAATGAGTCATAGATGGTACTATTTAAGATTCATCTGTAGTCTGGCAAATGAATAATGATCGATCTAAATGGAAAATTTTTAAGAGTTGATTGAATTTGTATTTTAATATCTTGAAACGAATATCCTCTATCAATAAACGAAGGCTGCTGTAATATTATTAATAAAGGGTGATTATTTTATTGGTGCGGTTTTTAAAACTAAATTAAAATATGAAAAACAACCTGCATTGACATAAAAATGCATTTATTTGAACTACAGTGTCATGACATTAACGTTTAAAAATGATTTCTGGCATATGGGCTCCATTCCGTTCGCGTAGAAAGTCCAATCGAGAAGTCCAATTTTCGAATACTCTTTCCAGCAGCAGTGGTTGAATTCCGCCAATAACTCGACGAATGTTAGCTTCCAAGCCATTTAAAGTTTCAACGCTATCGGACAATGTTACGGGACTTTTTCGTTCCTCATCTAAACGAAATTGAAGTGGATTTAGAAAATAATGTCTGGTTCCAACAAGACGGCGCGACGTGCCATACGGCAAACGACACAATTGGCCTCTTGGCAGAAACATTTGGTGAACGTATCATCTCATTTAGAGGTAGTGTCAACTTCCCCCCACGGTCGTGTGATATCAGGCCAACAGACTTCCAACATTCTGTGGGGATGTGTTAAGTCTCAAGTATACGCTGACAAGCCACAAACTTTAAATGACTTGGAAGCTAACATTCGTCGAGTTATTGGCGGAATTCAACCACAGCTGCTGGAAAGAGTATTCGAAAATTGGACTTCTCGATTGGGCTTTCTATGCGAACGGAATGGAGCCCATATGCCAGAACTCATTTTTAAACGTTAATGTCATGACACTGTAGTTCAAATAAATGCATTTTTATGTTAATGCAGGTTGTTTTTCATATTTTTATTTAGTTTTAAAAACCACACCAATAAAAAATCACCCTATAGAACCAATAGGGCAAACATTCAATTATACCAATCAATTGATATTAATTTTTTCAATGTCCTTTCCTTATTTCAACACTTATAAAGTTTGAGTTCTGAAATCAGTGTGATATTTATAACCAAATGTTGGTGATAATGAGAAAATGATAGTCATTGTTGAGTGGAAACACAACTTGATATACTAATGTAAATTATAAATTGAGTGTCTCTTTACAAACTTAGGTAAATCTCTCTAAGTCTATTACTTAAATGTAAGTCCCGATGACACAATTAAAGTAAAAAAAAAAAAATATTTTGAAACCAGATTTTTCATACCAGATAAAAATTCTTTTTGAGTCAGGAAAATTAGTATAAACGGATCGACAACCAATATGATTATAAATGGGTCTCTTCTACTTTGAGTGGCTGAGATAAACAGGGATTACTGTGATTTGTGACTTGTATAGACACAAGACGACAACGGCGTTTAATTAGAATTGAGGGCTTTAGATGTTACTGGCTACATAGCTAAGAGAAATGGCGAAAGTAAATCCAACAGATCAAGTAGGTCAGTGGCCTTCCTATCATTGTGTCTACCTCAACCTCATGAAGAACTTTAACCAATTGGATGTATTGAGCATTGAACAACGCAAGTTATTTGACAATTTAAGACTTAGCAGTACTGTGTTTATGTAGTTGTGGATGACAAAATCATGTGATATTGTTATAAATTCAACTAAAAGAATTATGAAATGTCGGGGAAAATTAAAGAGCAAAAGGAATTATTAAAATGCTGAATACTCAGAAATGGAAACATATTGCTTTGGAATAAAGTGTATTCGAGATTTTGTTGATTGCTGTAGTAGTTTGTAAGAAATTTGTGGGAGCTTAACCTTTAAAATAAATATAAAAGCTGAGCGTATTTTTTTTGGTGACAATGTGTCAAATTGGTATCTAACTACAAATGGTGTATACAGTTTATAATAAATAAATGGCGACTCAAACATTTTTACTTATTTATTATGTTGTTTTTTGTTAGTAAATTCAAATACAAACAAATAAGCACTTGTAAAAAAGTAAAGCTTGCGTATGTACTTAACCAATCAAATTAAGTATATATTTATGAAAAATAACATTCTCTAAATATCGACATTTGATTAGTTTTATCCATTTTTATCCTTCAAATCACCAATTAAAGTGACCAACAGCATCTGGGTCTTAGCTTTTACAATTAAAATAAATAATGAAGCATTTGTTAAGACTTGCATTCGAAGCCCCTGTCTACAATTAATTCCGTTTAATTAAGTTTTCTTCGTTGTACTTCCTGTATTAACAGATAAACTTTTAGTGGGGCTCTTAATTGTTTCGTAAGACGAATTAGTTCTAAATTTGACAACTGATTGAGTTTACTTTATTCAACAACATATATGGCAACTGTAGACATTCTAAATTCTAGAGAATTTTCAATTGAATTAGGTTTGCCAAGCTTATATACACGATATATTTCAGTTTGTGCTAGATTGATTAAGTTGCTTTCACATTGTAATAACGATCTATACCGTAAAAGTGTGGAAAATGTTTAACAATATCGAAAATTTATTAAGTATCACTGACAACTTAGTCTTAAATCTGAGTACTTATACCTTCAAAATGGATACATATTACTTCATTATAGTTAAGCATTTTTAAAATTAAATCTGTATTACAGGATTAACCCTATTGAAACGGAGATTCAACCTAAAAATAAAAAATAACCTTTAATTTCCTAAGTCGGGGGACATTTTCTAAGGCTATATGCGGGCATTTCCTCAGCCGGACAATTTCTGAGTCTTACATTTTCTGAGTAGAGCATTTTCTAGGACGGACAATTTCTGAGTCGGACATTTTTTAGTAGGACAGATTCTAAGTCGGGAGACGGCTGAGTCTGGGAAATTTTTGGAGTCAGATATTTTCTGACTTGTTCATTTCCTGAGTCGGACATTTTCTGAGTCAGAGGCATTTTCAGAGTCTAGGACATTTTTTTGAATTAGAGGCATTTTCTGAGTAGGGGATATTTCTGAGTCAAGGTTATTTCTGAGTCGGAAATTTTCTGAGTTGGGAGCATTTTCTAAATCGGGAGCATTTTCTGAGTCTGGGACATTTTCTGAGTCGGGGTTATTTCTGAGTCGGGTATTTTCTGAGTCGGGTGCATTTTCTGAGTCTGAAACATTTTCTGAGTCGGAGGCATTTTCTGAGTCGGGATTATTTCTGAGTCAGACATTTTCCAAATCGGGAACATTTTCTGAGTCGGGGTTACTTCTGAGTCGGATATTTTCTAAGTTGGGAGCATTTTCTAAATCGGGAGCATTTTCTGAGTCTGGGACATTTTCTGAGTCGGGGATATTCCTGAGTCGGGTATTTTCTGAGTCGGGTGCATTTTCTGAGTCGGAGTTTTTCTGAGTCGGGTGCATTTTCTGAGTCTGAAACATTTTCTGAGTCGAACATTTTCTGAGTTGGGAGCATTTTCTAAATCGGGAGCATGTTCTGAGTCGGAGGATTTTTCTGAGTCTGGGTTTTTTCTGAGTCGAATATTTTCTGAGTCGGGCATTTTCTGAGTCGGAGGCTTTTTCTGAGTCGATGTTACTTCTGAGTCGGACATTTTCTGAGTTGGGAGCATTTTCTAAATCGGGAGCATTTTCTGAGTCTGGGACATTTTCTGAGTCGGAGGCTTTTTCTGAGTCGGGGTTATTCCTGAGTCGGGCATTTTCTGAGTCGGGCGCATTTTCTGAGTCGGAGGCTTTTTCTGAGTCGGGTGCAGAAACATTTTCTGAGTCGGAGGCATTTTCTGAGTCAGACATTTTCTAAATCGGGAACATTTTCTGAGTCGGGGTTACTTCTGAGTCGGACATTTTCTGAGTTGGGAGCATTTTCTAAATCGGGAGCATTTTCTGAGTCTGGGACATTTTCTGAGTCGGGGATATTCCTGAGTCGGGTATTTTCTGAGTCAGGTGCATTTTCTGAGTCTGAAACATTTTCTGAGTCGGAGGCATTTTCTGAGTCGGGATTATTTCTGAGTCAGACATTTTCTAAATCGGGAACATTTTCTGAGTCGGGGTTACTTCTGAGTCGGACATTTTCTGAGTTGGGAGCATTTTCTAAATCGGGAGCATTTTCTGAGTCTGGGACATTTTCTGAGTCGGGGATATTCCTGAGTCGGGTATTTTCTGAGTCGGGTGCATTTTCTGAGTCTGAAACATTTTCTGAGTCGGAGGCATTTTCTGAGTCGGGATTATTTCTGAGTCAGACATTTTCTAAATCGGGAACATTTTCTGAGTCGGGGTTACTTCTGAGTCGGACATTTTCTGAGTTGGGGGCATTTTCTAAATCGGGAGCATTTTCTAAGTCGGAGGCTTTTTCTGAGACCGGGTTTTTTCTGAGTTTGATATTTTCTGAGTCGGACATTTTCTGAGTCGGGGTTATTTCTGAGTCGAATATTTTCTGAGTCGGACATTTTCTGAGTCGGAGGCTTTTTCTGAGTCGATGTTATTTCTGAGTGTGACATTTTCATAGTTGGGAGCATTTTCTAAATCGGGAGCATTTTCTGAGTCTGGGACATTTTCTGAGTCGGAGGGTTTTTCTGAGTCGGGGTTATTTCTGAGTCGGATATTTTCTGAGTCGGGTGCATTTTCTGAGCCTGGAACATTTTCTGAGTCTGGAAAATTTTGTGAGTCGGATATTTTCTGAGTCGGGGTTATTTCTGAGCCGGACATTTTCAGAGTTGGTAACATTTTCTAAACCGGGAGTATTTTCTGAGTCGGGAACATTTTTTGAGTCTGGATCATTTTCTGAGCCGGAGGCACTTTCTGAGTCTGGATCATTTTCTGAGTCGGAGGCATTTTCTGAGTCGGGATTATTTTTGAGTCAGACATTTTCTGAGTCGGAAACATTTTCTGAGTCGGGGTTATTTCTGAGTCGGACATTTTCTGAGTCGGAGGCATTTTCTGAGTCGGGATTATTTCTGAGTCATACATTTTCTGAGTCGGGAACATTTTCTGAGTCGGGGTTATTTCTGAGTCGGACATTTTCTGAGTTGGGGGCATTTTCTAAATCGGGAGCATTTTCTAAGTCGGAGGCTTTTTCTGAGACCGGGTTTTTTCTGAGTTTGATATTTTCTGAGTCGGACATTTTCTGAGTCGGGGTTATTTCTGAGTCGAATATTTTCTGAGTCGGACATTTTCTGAGTCGGAGGCTTTTTCTGAGTCGATGTTATTTCTGAGTGTGACATTTTCATAGTTGGGAGCATTTTCTAAATCGGGAGCATTTTCTGAGTCTGGGACATTTTCTGAGTCGGAGGGTTTTTCTGAGTCGGGGTTATTTCTGAGTCGGATATTTTCTGAGTCGGGTGCATTTTCTGAGCCTGGAACATTTTCTGAGTCTGGAACATTTTGTGAGTCGGATATTTTCTGAGTCGGGGTTATTTCTGAGCCGGACATTTTCAGAGTTGGTAACATTTTCTAAATCGGGAGCTTTTTCTGAGTCTGGGACATTTTCTGAGTCGGGGTTATTTCTGAGTCGGACATTTTCTGAGTTGGAGACTTTTTCTGAGTCGGGGTTATTTCTGAGTCTGGGACATTTTCTGAGTCGAGAACATTTTCTGAGTCGGGGTTATTTCTGAGTCGGAAATTTTCTGAGTTGGGAGCATTTTCTAAGTCGGAGGCTTTTTCTGAGTCAGATATTTTTTGAGTAAGGTGCATTTTCTGAGTCTGGAACATTTTCTGAGTTGGGCATTTTCTGAGTCGGATGCATAATCTGAGTCGGGCATTTTCTGAGTCGGGTGAATTTTCTGAGTCGGAGGCATTTTCTGAGTAGGACATTTTCTGAGTCGGTTGCATTTTCTGAGTCTGGGACATTTTCTGAGTCGGAAAATTTTTAAATCGGATATTTTATGAGTCGGAGGCATTTTCTGAGTCGGGATTATTTCTGAGTCAGATATTTTCTGAGTCGGGAACATTTCCTGAGTAGGGGTTTTTTCTGAGTCGGACATTTTCTGAGTTGGGAGCATTTTCTAAATCGGGAGCATTTTCTGAGTCTTGGTCATTTTCTGAGTCGGAGACTTTTTCTGAAGTCGGAGGCATTTTCTGAGTCGGACATTTTCTGATTCGGGGGTATTTCTGAGCCTGTGGAATATTTTATATGTCTGGGCCATTTTCTGTGACGGCCATATTCTAAGTTTTGAATTTTTTGAGTCGGATATATTCTGAGCTGGGGATATTTTCTAAGTCGGGGATATTTCTGAGTAGGATATTTTCTGAGTTGTTCATTTCCTGAGTCAAGACATTTTCTGGGTCTGGGTCATTTTCTGAGTCGGACATTTTCTGAGTTAGGGGCATTTTCTGAGTCTGGGACATTTACTGAGTCGGAGAACATTTTCTGAGTAGGACAAGTTCTAAGTCAGTAATTTTCTAATTCTACAAAGCAAAAATCTATAAATCAATAATAAATTTTAATCCTGCGTTGTTTTCTCAGTATGAGCAAATAAATTACGGTTTACCTTAAATTTAAAATACAATTTTAGTTTTAGGTATTTCTTTATTACTAACATGATATTAATTGATAGGCAATTTAAAACTCACAATGCTAATTTCAAATAGGCCCTACCATTTATTAATTTGATACTTAAGTTATTACTATTTTTAGTTTTCTACCTAATTAGGTAGGTAATTAAGGTAGAAAACTATTTTGAACAAAACCAATTAAATTCGACTATTTAGCTCAACTTTCTATATATAAGTTATGAAAGCGATTTTATTCAATGAGACTAGGACTTGGAAAGACAAATGACAACTCTCAAATTCAATTATCCAAACAAAGAGACCTAAGAGGCTGGCGACGATTGGTCGATAAATTAGAACGAGTGTTTTACAATTCCAGGGTTCTGGAGAGACAGCTTACTTAGTAATTGATCTACTTCACAACCAAAATGTATCGAATCGATTAAGTGACAGTACTAGGCTGCTTAACGCTGTACCCGAGGCATAGGATCCTTAAATTAAGTAAAATAAATACATTAAGCAATAAAAAAACAACTTCCTTTTCATGTTTGTCGCATATAAAATAGTTTGCAGTTTGGCTTTTATCATTGGTGCTACAATTCAAAATTTGGTTGAGCATGTTTATTGTACTAATTTAGTATAATTCGACAATATGAGACACTGTTCTAATGCTTATTCCTCATAGCACGTTGTGTGCGTAGCTTTAATCTTTAATGTGTAAACTTCAATAAATTTGATGGGCTGCCATTTTGATTGGGGATTAAATAGGGAAATCTGGGTTTTACCATTATTTAATTATTTATGTAAACCATTGTTTATGTAAACACTTTAAAATGAGGTGTCACTTGAAGGGGGTTTACTTAAAGATTTAGAGTTGCCCCCAAAATCCTACTCTCATAATGTTCAAAATCATAAAATAAAAGTTTCTGCTAAGATTGTACGGCCACTAAAAGGATATCTCTGTTTATAAAAAAAATATTATATTGGAAAACTGAAAAAAGTGTTATCCCAAGTATAACCTAAAGAAAGCCATACCGTTTTTAAGATAATATTTACTCATAGTTTAAATATGAGCTGTTAATCAATGGTAATGTAAGTTGAGTATCCAAGGGGTTTACAGGGGTTGCGGTGATTTGTGACGATGGAGAGACATCGTCACAAATTAATGTACATTAATTGAAACTCGGGCTTAGCTTTCAGTCAGTAATCCCAAATTACTTAGTAAGACAAAGCTCAACGACACAGGTTTTAAAACCTTAAAAGTAAATTAACATTAAGTGGCATTGAGTAGTTAAAAATACTATAAAAATGTAAATGTTATAAATACTATTTCCGAATATTGAATATTCAATTAACTTCACTCAAGTAATTGCTTGCCGTACTCCTTAGGTATCTTGAAGTATGATTAATTTATATTTGCGATAGTTTGGCGGAAAAAAAACATTACAGTCCAATTGACTGTGGTCTTCATAAGTATTATTTCTTAAACTGATAACATTTTGATTTTAGGTCACGTAAACTATCTCTGATAAAAATGGGAAAATATATATTGGGTTCGTTATTGAATGAATCTTATTTCGTTATCATAAAAAATACAAGGTAGTGGTAAACAAATTTCACTATGAAATTGGATTTTGTAATCACCTCAATAAGGTAAACATACTCAGTCGGGTAGCAAGGTTGTTGTTATAACGGATAATGTGACGGAGTACTAATAGCACAGTTCCTGAGCTAAGATGTTAAGTTAAGATGTCTGACCTTTTGATTTACACCGTGCCATGCCAATGCACGCCGTGCTTGCACGGTGTTCACCACACACTTGCACGTTTCGTCAGTTTTTGGCACGGCGTGCAATGCACGTGTAGTGTGTGGGCCGCTTTAAAACGTGCCAGTTGTTCATAGGAAAAACTGGCAAAACTCAGTTGACAAATAACTTACAATAATATTAAATTTAATTGATACTATTTATAACGTAATAAACAATAGATTTTACATAATATTTTTGATGTAGTCTTCACAATAAAATAGTTTAATAATGGTTATAGCATATTTGACATAGTTAAAACATGCTCATCATGATCAATTTTTTTAAAGATAAAAAAAAATAAAAAAAAACTTTTACTCCCATAATATTAAATTTTCAAATATTTTACTCCACAATTGTAAAAATATTACATTTGAGCATCGTTACTTTAGGAATATTTCATTTACCATTGCCTAGATCGGAAGTAAGTATTAATTGGATATGTTCTCAAACTAACTATCAACAACGCATTGTATGATCAATTTATTTGCCGAAATATGCA